CTGCGCGCGAATGCGTGCCTCTTCCACTGCTGATCTTACAGGCTTGCGAAGGCAGTCGTCGGCTACTGCCAAAGGCGACTCTCGCGGGTCCACAGCTTGTGACACATCTAAGGGTTGTCGAGAGTGCTGTTGGAAACCTCGCTTCGCTGGGGGGTGGTGGTCGGGTGCGGAAGAGAGGCGGGTGCGGAGGTGAGGCGGGGATGGCGTTCGCGCGCACAAGCACGGGCGTAGAGTACGGCGCGCGCGAAGCGGACAGGTGTCCCTGAAAGGCGGAGATTTGCAGGCGAAGCGGCGGGGCGGCGGCGGTTCGGGCGGGAGGCGGGCCGGGCGGGGGCGCCTGCGCGGGCGCCTGTTCGTGGAGACCGGCGCGCACGAATCTTGAATCTTGTGTAAGCGGGGAGATTTGAGATCGGCGGTGTAAGCAAGCGCGCGCGCTGTTTCGGGCGCGCGTCGGGTGGTGCCGCAGGCACGCGCGGAAAGAGAGGTGGCGCAGGCAGGCGGGGGGCGCGACGTGCGGCCCTGCGCACGCGCGCTGCCGCGCGGCCCGCATGTGGCGCACGCTGCCGCGCGCCCACCAATCGCACGCCTCCTCCGCACCCCGCCCCCCGCCCCCGACTATCATACCTCTCTCCCCCCCACAATTGATGGTCTCAAATATCCCATATTGCCGCCCGCCGCCGCCGAGGAGGCCGTCAATTGGGGTACAGTATGATAAACGGGGAGGACAGCCCAACAATTGATGGTCTCGGATTGATGGTCTCAGAGGCCGTCAATTGGGGTACAGTATGATAAACGAGGAGGACAGCCCAACAATTGATGGTCTCGGATTTCCCATATTGATATTATTATTATGGGAAATTCGATCTCGCCCGCCGCCTCCAGTTGCCCACCCCGCTCGGCAAGCGCACCGCGGGGCGCGCAACGGCACGCGGCGAAGCGGCGCGCATGTGCATTTCTCATTTCTGCAGGCGTGAAATAGATATCTTGGCGCGCGAAATAAATATCTTGGCGCGCGATTCAGTTGCGAGCGAGGTTGCAGCAGTGTACAAGTACAGTACATACAGTAGCTCTGTTGCGTGTATGGTGCGCTGCCGTACTTACAGTGCACGATTACTGTAACGTGTGGATTGTTTTAATTTAATGTTTCCCGACTTACACCACAGGTGTGTGCACTGCACACATCTGTGGTGTAATTACTGCATACTGTGCAGTAGGTCTGTGCAGTAGGTCTGTACTGTACCTGTATTGTACTGTAGGTACCGTAACGGTACCTTGTCATATAACTTGCAATGTGTCAACGTGTGTTTGTGTCGTTTCTGGTTCGTTTCTATTTTCTCTTCCTCCTTGCTCACCCAGCTCCCCAGTTGCTCTGTCTACTTACTGCAATCTCACCGGCTGCGTCTGCATAACTGGGCGCAGCTGATGGTCACCGGCCACTGCTCCCGGCGCTTTAGTAGCATCAACTGCGACTTCTCTCGCCAGCTTCCCGAGTTGTGACCGTCCGTGCCTACTAGCGACCATTAAGCACAGCAACTTACTTGACGCGTCCACGACGTCGCCACATGACAGACTCATTGCCACTGCAAACAATTTCTCACCTGCAGCTTTTGCCACGCTGCTAGTCAGCTCCCTCACCTCAACGTAGCCTGCCAAGCAGTTGGCATGCACTCCCAACCCTCGAATTAGCTCACTTATAGAATCCTCGTCCCCAATAAAGCACCGTCTGGAACCCCGCAGACGGACTCTTCCTTTTGCGGTCATGTCCAACCTTCTCCCGCTTGCGCTGTAGGTCCTCGTTTCAGGTTCCTTATTTGCCCATTCTAGGTTCTTCCTAGTCTCAGATAGGTCTTCTACCGCCTTTGAAATACTGACGCCACAGTAAAACAGTTCCAATTTCCGCCTCCCTGCCACGGCGCCGTGTAAGGTCTCCAACCTCTTCTTGCCCTTGACGCCGTGGGTTATGCCTCGCACCTTAGTAAGTCTGATGGGAAGTATGTGGTGGACGTGATTCTTGTCAGTAGTAACACGGTGGTATTCTCCCCGTCCGCGAATGGTCGGTACCACTTCTAGTAATCCACCTTTTACCAGTAATCCGTCTGCCCTGACGACCCCAGTATACGTCACCACTTTTCCCCTCCTGTCAGATCTGCAGTCCGACCTGTCGACGTCATCGCACAAGTACCTCCGGGAGTTAAACCTGTCAAGCTGGACGGCGGACCAACAGGGCGAAGCGGGAACAGAGACGTACGCCCCTGACTTACATAACATAGAAAGCAGTTCCCTCATTGCGTAAGGCCTGCATTCATAACCGATGTTGCTGTCCTTCAGTATCAACTGCCCCTCGCTCCTTAATATTGTTGCTATGTCCGACCATAGGTACTGCTCTGCCACCCCGTAGTTATACTCAGCCCTTTTCATCGTTCCCCGCAGTCCGATCTTTCCAGTCGCCACTCGTCTAGCGAGGTGGTACAGATCCAATATGTCGCCCAGCAGCGGCTGATTCGAAAGAATCTGTGCCGATCGTCTGTCCAGACCTGCCAGACTCTCCCAGTCGTCACACAAAATGAGCCCTCCGCCTTCCTGCCGAGTGTTAATCACAACAACGTCAGCGTATTGCGTTACCACGTCCTTAGTAGTGTCATTCTTAGCCTGCATCTGCACTCTAGAATACAGAATTTCAGCCAGGAGACTCTGTCGTCTTTCGCCAGAGCATAACCCTCCACCGCTAATCTTCGCAGCGTCAAGGACTTCGCTCAGCGCGTCGAACAAAACTGAATTCACGTCCCCCGCTGCTCATGACTCCACGGTAGCGTACGCACCCACTTTCACGTTCTCTGATGACGTGACGCGGGCGGTCAGTACTTTCTACTACCCGTAGGGCGGATGTTTGTTTCAGGGTAGCACGAGCTGGATCGCCGTTCGGTAGGCCCTTTGGACAGTGTTGCAATAAGTAAGAAGTTATGCCTGCGATCTTCTCGACCAGTCGCATCTTGAGCTC